AGACAGACAGGCTCCTGGTAAAGTTCCTATTTGTTCAAGAAACTGCTCCATCCGTGGGGTCTTTATCTACTCAATCCTGAGAAGTAAAGTGGTTGCAAGAAGCCCACAGTAGTAGGATCAGCTGTGAGACCCTCCACCCTCCCCACATGCCCAGGGCTCCTCCCCATTCTTTGAGTGGGTATTTATGGAGCGTCTGCCATGGGTGAGCATTTTTTCAGGTATAGGAAATACACTGGAGACCAAGAGCAAGATGGCCCTTGTTCTCATGGAGGTTACATACTCTGGGTCTGTGCCTTGACAGATTTTTCTCTCTTAGTATCCACAGGACAATTTTTTTATAACACTGTCTCAATCCCTGTGCTATGCTTGTTGTTATGTGTGCAATCTGACTTAAATAAACAGCTTCCTACTTCAGCATATTCTCACTAAACCCAAGGATCCCAGTGTCATGGAGGGCAAGAGGGCAGGGAGGCCTACGTAAGGGGCTCCTCAAGAGGAAGGTGGTTTTTAGCGTCCCTCTTTGCCACACTGGGTGCATTTGAACATACACTTAGTTGAGTCTTCTCCTTAGCCATCATCTAGGTATCCTGTTAAGTTTTCCTCATGTGCCCATTCCCAGACACGTGGTGGTGTTCACACCTGTCCTCTTAATTGTTCGAAAGGCCTCCTTATCGCTCACCTGTTACGAGCTTGTAACAATAGTGAACTGGCAGGTAGCCACAGCTTTTCTTCTCTACCCACACCCATTGCGTCCTGGGTTAAATTTTCAATCCATTTTAACACACACAGGCATCTTCTGTCTCTCACTGTTAACCTTGCTTTGAAACCATAGTTTTTCCTCTGGATTCCTCGCTGCCTCCCTCCATCCTTCCACTAAAAGCCCTTGATGTGTATGTTTTCTTCCCGCAGTCACCAAAGGCTTCGTGTACAGCTCCTTTCTAAAGCCCTACAGTCCTCGCCGCAGCCACTCAGAGGCCTCCGCAGGCAGCCACTCCCCCGCCGAGTCAGAGCAGGGCAGCTCCTGCCCCACCTTCCCGCGGCAGAACAGCAACAGCACCTTGACCTTCAACCCCGGCAGCATGGCTGTGTCCTTTACCTCAGGGCCTTGCCAGAAGCAGCTTCAAGACACATCTTTACTGAAGGAATGTGACCAAGGAACTCTCAGTGCATCTTTGAACCTGGTTAATGTAGAGAGTGGTCCTTCCAGGTGCCTTTCAGACCCAGACTCCGCCTCTCAGCTCAGGCCAGGGGACTCTGCAGATGGGGCCAGAGATATAAACCAACCTGCTGCCACCCTAAGGAGCTACCGAAATGCCAGGCATCCAGAAATGGTTGGTTATTCTGTACCAGGGCGAAACGGACAAGGTAAAGACCGAGAAAAAGAAGGAAGTGCAAGAGCAGCCCAGGCTCTGGAAGACAGAAATGAAGAGCCAGAAAGCAGCGAGGCAGAAGGCAACCAGGTAAGTGCTTCCCTAGCTTACCGCAATAGTGCAGGTGGCAGGAGGTGTGTTGTGGGGGCAGGAGTGGGCGAGGCAGAGGCTTGCCTGGGACCTGGGGCTGATGTGGAGACACAGGCAGATCTTACCAAGCGTGCAAGGACACTCCCTGGTGTGAGCCTGAGCAACTCAGCACCTCTGAGCACCTCTGCAGCTGACACTTCACAGCTATTCCTGGACCTCTTCTGCTGTGTCACTGGGCGTTTAAAAGGTGTCATAATGAAAACTTTTTTTACTCTTTCAATTCACTAATTCTTCAGTTGTATAAAGACTGCTGATTAAACCACATATTTAGTTTTTATTCTATTTTATTTCTAGAGTTTAGAAATTAAATTCTGGCTATTTCACTTTTTCCTATTCTTTTTGTAATGGCTATTCCTGTTTCGTGAATTTGAGCATAGCCTTTATATCTTAAACATTTTAAACTACATATTTTTTTTTTTTTTGTCCTTTTTGAGACCGGCCGCACTGCGCTCAGCCAGTGAGCGCTGTGAGCGCACCGGTCATCCCTATATAGGATCCGAACCCATGGTGGGAGCGCAGCGCTCCCAGCGCCACACTCTCCCGAGTGCGCCAGGGGCTCAGCCCTAAACTACATATTTTAAAGCCACTTGCGGATTCTCAGTTAAGCAATCTCTGCTTCCTCCATGGTTGCTTTTGCTCATGCTTACTGCAGCACGTTTTCTCATGAGTTTGTTTTGATTTTGTGTTTTTTGGAAGCTGACTGAAAAGGGTTATCTGAATCCTTGAACGTGGTGTTACCAGCAGCACGCTGTCCAAGTGAGCCCACTAGCCAGGCCTCTTGTATGTTTTATAAGATTTGTCTGTGAGCTCATCTTCAGCAGGAGTTGCCTTTGTTGAGAGACTC